GTGGTGTATGGCGGCGCTGGTTGACCTAGACCACGAGGCATACACTGGGGAATTGGTGGGGTCGGCTACTCAGCGACAAACAGCGTTTGTAGGGGAGAAATCCACTATAATCCCTCAGGTTGAATGTGGCTCAAATAGCAATACAACAAAAAATCTACATTATCTTTTATGCCAATGCAACGTTTCATACCATAAGAAAATTTCAACAAAAGCTCAGATTATTAAGTTGAAATTTTTCGATTACCACAAAACCTAATGGGATTGTAATGGATTTCTCCCCTACAAACGCTGTTTGTCGCTGAGTAGCCGACCCCGCGAATTCCACAGTGTGTGCCTTGTGGTTTAGGTCAACCAGCGCCGCCCTACATGACGGAGGTCAACTACTAAGCCACGCCCACCTCCGCTATTTAAGACCTGACCTCGTGGTGACCTGCCTCTTTTCTACCGACACCAACCAGCAAGCTGCCTGGCGGCCCTCGCTCCCGCCGGCGAGCATGGCGACCCACAAGCTGTCCTCCTTTAAGCATCCTCACCAACCAGCTCTCTCTACATCACGCTTGTAACCACGCTGCCAAACTGCATTGTACATCCAATACAACATGTCTACAGAGAGCACATTGTGAGTTTCCTTTCTCCATCCCATCCTGAGTGTGAACCCAAACAACCCATACCCCACAGGATAGATGCTACTTCTCCTATGCACACCTTTGAGTAGTAATAGTACTATTATAGGATACAAGTTGCACTAACTGGCAACCTGACAAGGCAACAACAATTTGTCAATGGTAGCTGCCAGCTGATATTACTGTACACAGGAATTTGTTTATACGCACCTAAGCATTCGCCGAAAAATACATATTTGTGTATACATAGAGTAATTCAAATTATTGTATTTATAATTCAGGATTACATAAGGGCATTACAATATGTAAAGGAGATCAATAATAGAACATTGTTGAAATCCATCTGGAAGTAGTTCTCCATGGCAACGGCGTGGCGTTGAATGTATACAGGAATTTGCTTATTCGCACATAAGCATTCGCCGAAAAATACATATTTGTGTATACATAGAGTAATTTAAATTATTGTATTTATATTTCAGGAATACATAAGGGCATTACAATATATAAAGGAGATTAATAATAGAACGTTGGTGAAATCCATCTGGGAGTAGTTCTCCATGGCAACGGCGTGGCGTCCATAGCAACGCATCAGTGTGTTGATGACTGGTGAGCTGCGAAAATTGGGTCACCCTAGCTTATCCAGTAAGTGTATATACTGTATATTTTACCGATAATTTTATTTTATAGTGTAGATAGATAGTGTTTATGAATCATGGTGCACCTGCATTACATTGGAATATAAAGAAATGTTGCGTCTTCAATAAAAGAGAAGTAAATTTCTGACAATGCACAAACGTAAATAGTCTGTCGAGGCTGATATTTAATACAAAGTTATACAATGTACAGTTTCGTTCAAGATTCTTCAAACAAAGCTGGAGAAAACTGGCTTTTTGTTTACGATAGTACGTTGCAGAAATTATGAATGAATGTAAAAGGTTATCGGCGATTGGTTACTTACTTTTACTTTTATCCTCTTCACCACTGATCGGCTCGTTAGCCGGTTGGGCGATCGGTCACGTCTCAGTTACTCTTCTTAGTTCCCCGTTGCTTAATTAATGGTTGGGCATTGTTGTTTCGTATTATATTGTACTATGTATTATAGTAAACAAACGGCCTTGAGTTCCCAGCTGTCTCCAGCGGTGTTCGAAGAATCTTGAACGAGATTGTACATACTACGAAGATGATAAGTTATGACTATACATTCTTGCTAATTTTCAATCTTAACCACTTATCCTCCTTTCTGGTGAATATTTGAACCCTCTTTTCTGGCTCTGTACCTAACGAATTTTTTTTTTAAGTTGTAGGAATGATTTTACATTTATAGAAATATCCTAAAGGCATGGAATATATGTGTCAGGAAGTGTGGGAGAATGGCGGGAAGAGGAAGCGACGATGACAAGGAGGTAGAGAATGAGGAATTGGACAAAAAGGGAGAGGTGGCTGAACTTCGAGTGTGGTGGGTAATGCGGCGGGTGTGTCACCTCCTAGGCTACACCCAAGATACCCGCCAGCCCATGTTGACCTGGCCTCAGTATCCTGACCACCACCACCCAACTGCACTTCTCTCCAGGTAATTGTAATATACCTTATATCCCCGCTATTTTTTTCTTTGTGAGATCGTAAAGTAGTTTTTTGTCTAATTAACCCAGGGATAGTAAAGGAGGGCCACCAGACTGGTGCCTGCACTTCGGCACCTCAGCTACCCTGAGAGATTGGAGCGCCTGAACTTGCCTAGCTTATACTACAGACGGGCAAGGGGTGACCTTATTGAGGTGTATAAGCATCTCAAGGGGAACTACTCAGTTGAGTGCCCTTACTTGGAGCTGGCGGACGGTCGCCCCACAAGGGGTCACAGCTCAAGATTGAAGAAGCCGCAAGTCCAGAAAACTGTGAGGGCAAATTTTTCCGGATTGAGAGTTGTGAACTCTTGGAACAATCTACCAGAAAGTGCTGTGACGGCATCGAGTGTGAGCTCTTTCAAGACCAGGCTTGACCAACACTGGAGCAGGTTCAGGTACATTCAGGAACCGGTGCATGCCCAGTATTTGCCAACAGTGCGTGACAGAGACGTGACCGATCGCCCAAGCGGCTAACAAGCCGATCAGTGGCGAAAGGGATAAAAGTAAAAGTAAGGGCAGTTGGTGTCAACGGCCGTCTTGACAGATATTGCAAGTCAATATCATTCCCATTCATTGACAACTGGAGCAACTTCTACGACAGAAGGGACCTTTATGCGAAGGATGGGGTGCATGTGTCTAGGGATGGGGTGGCAACCCTGGCTGAGTCTCTCGAGAGGGCAGTTCAAAAGATGCCGAAGTCTTTAAACTGCTAGGGGAACATATGAGCACGGGAATGGAGGAGACTGCAGTAGGAGCGGGTCAACAAAGTAAAAGGTTACAGGGAAATAGTGCTAGGAATAATGACAAAACTAAATTAGGTAGGGAGTTAAAACCAAAACGCGACAAAGAGAGGACTCAGAACACGACTAACTTAAATGTCTACTACGCAAACAGTAGAAGTATGAGAAACAAAATGGATGATATTAGGGCCTTGGTATGTAACGAAAAAATCGATATAATAGCATTCACCGAAACATGGATAAACCTAGACTCACGTGAGTTACCTGTCGAATACCAAATTGCAGGTTACAAATTATTCCATACCGATAGGCAAATTAGGAAAGGAGGTGGAGTTGCAATCTATGTCAGGGATAATCTGAAGTGAGAAATAAAGAAGAAAATAAAAACTGAGCGGAATACAGAAACAATTTGGATAGAATTAATCGATGGTATGGAAAAATTAATCACAGGAGTAATACATAGACCTCCTAATCTTGATAGAGTTAATGAGCGACTTATTTGGGACAAAATACGCAGGGCTTCCATGCATAGCAAAGTCTGTATAGTAGGCGACTTTAACTTTAGCCAAATAGATTGGATTGACCTTATGGGTAACTCAGAATCAGAGGATTTTCTTGCAACGATCCAGGACTGTTTCCTAAGTCTATAATATAACCGAACCCACCTGGGGTAATAATATACTGGATTTAGTTCTGTCGAACAGAGAAAACCTCATTAGTAATGTCGAGGAAGGGAACGAACTTGCAAACAGCGATCACAAAGAAATTAGATTCCAGTTAGAATTTCAGGGCAGCCGTAAGGAAAATTCCACCAAAGTCCCAGATTTCAGAAGGGCAAACTTTGATAGTTTGAAGAGGCAGCTGAGAGAAGGGGTATCACTCTTGGGGGTGAACTACATGACCTCACATGAGGTGACCACACACAATGTACCCACAGAGGGCGACTTCACCCTACCCAGAGACCTGACGGTTGAGATTGACCTGATAACGAGATCTGAGGTTGCCGAGTTCCATGACAATTTAAATAATGAGTCACTTAATGCACAAAAGCAGAACATACCATACAAAAAACTCAGATCAAACAACAGTGACCCTAAATGGATAAATGATTATTTAAAGAACATTATTGGACAGAGGAAGGCTATAGGTAGGAGAATAAATCGTGGTGAAGTTTACCTCCGAGATTACTATAAGGTATTGGCCGGTAGGGTTAAGCCTGAGATAAGAAAAGCAAAGAGGAATAATGAGCTGAAGATAGCAAGGGAGACAAAGTCAAACCCCAAGGGATTCTATCAAATGTATCAAACTAAAACACGAGAAAAGATTGGACCAATACAGTCAGATACTGGCGAGCTAACTGATAATGACAGAGAAATGAGCTTTAATCTGAATAAATATTTTTCAACAGTTTTCACCACCGAAAATTTAAACATGATACCTGAGGCACTGACTCTATACAGAGATAGTGAAGAAAATAAATTAAGCGAGATAGTAGTGACTAGTAACGATGTTAATAAGCAAATTGACAAACTAAAGCCTAATAAGTCACCAGGCCCCGATGAGATATTTGGCAGAGTATTAAAGGAATGAAAGGAAGAGCTTAGCAAAGTTATTTAGCATGTCCTTAAAAACAGGTGTAGTACCAGAATCCTGGAGGATAGCGAATGTAATACCGATTTTCAAGTAGGGAGATAGATCACTATCCTCTAACTACCGTCCAATCAGTCTAACATCAATTGTAGGCAAATTACTGGAAGCAATCATTTCAAACTCTATTCGAAATCACCTGGAGAAGCACAAGTTGATCAATGATTCCCAACATGGCTTCACAAGCGGGCGTTCATGTCTAACTAATCTATTAACATTCTTTTCATCAGTTTTCGAATCAGTGAACGAGGGGCACAATTATGATGTGGTATATCTCGACTTTAACAAAGCCTTCGACAGAGTCCCTCACGAAAGGCTAATAAGAAAAGTGGAGGCTCATGGCATTAAACATGATATTCTAAAATGGTTTAGGGCGTGGTTATAAGAGAGGAAACAGCGAGTGAGCATTAACAGCACTAAATCCCATTGGAGCAATTTCACTAGTGGAGTTCCCCAAGGCTCAGTACTTGAACCATTATTATTTATTATATACATAAACGACATAGATATCGGCGTAGACAGCAACATAAGTAAATTTGCAGATGACACTAAAATAGGATGTGTAATTAAATCTGACGAGGACTCCACAAAACTACAGGAAGATCTAAACCAATTTTTCGAATGGTCTGAAAAATGGCAGATGAAATTCAATGTGTACAAATGTAAAGTACTCGGTATATGTGATGTTTTCTCACACTCAGGTTGGGTTGGAGAAAGGAAACTCACAATGCGCTCTCTGTATATATATATATAGATATTGTATTGGATCACTAGCGTAGCTAGGGGGGGGCGGTCCGCCCCGGGCGGCACTTTTGGGTCTGCTCATCACCCATATCTGCAGCTACTGGAGACGTTAATCCATCCCTTTGTATCGGCGGCAAGTTAATCCTTGTCGTGTCTGACCTAACACCTGACCCACATCATCACGGCCACGTCATGAGCTACACCCTTGCTATGAGGCCCCCCGCCACACACACAACCTGTAACCTGTTGAGGATTAAGGAAACAACTTCAAACAAGTACGCCAGTGAGCTCATGTGGTGTGGGTCAGGTGTTAGGTCAGACACGACGAGGATTAACTTGCCGCCGATACAAAGGGAAGGATTAACGTCTCCAGTAGCTGCAAAACCATGCAGTCTCGGGTCATATCAGTTCATGTACAGCCGACCAATCCACCAGTTACAAGCAATTCAATTCAGTTCTGCACAAGTCTCCATCGTGACAAGACGAGGGGAGGCTAGACGACTTTTAAGTTCTCTTGTGTTTTCGATCCAGTTATTTACTTCGTTGGAAGACATAATACTATAAGGTAAGAAATATTAAAGTATTGGTTAAAAAATATTGATGTGACTTTTGCTGCGGTACTGAGATTAAATATTAAGATTTTGTTTCACAGCATTGCGATTTTATACTAAGACACTATCCTCACTGGGGTACAGACAAAAGCCCCCCCGACAAAAGAAAATACAGCTACCAGGGCAGATGCTGGTGTTCTACTTGGTGCGTTGCAATCATTTTCCTTTTTGTGCTTTCTTGGCCTGTGGGGACCCGTCCTTCTAGAAATTAACGACACACAGACTTACCTCCAAACCAAGGGCGTGAACATACAACAATGTGATATAAAACTCAGGGCATTAGAAACATTTCAAGTTGAAAACAGGGACATGCTAGTGAGTAATGGACTTTACTATGCCAAAGAAATTTGCAATGATCTGGGGATAGTCATGGAGCGTCAGCGTCGACCCAAAAAGAAGAAACAAATGTTTGGTGAAGGATCACGAGATGCTGAATTGCCATAAGACATTGAATTGAGGAGAGAAATGTTTTCTTAGCTGGACAGAGTGATCCAAGAAATAACTTTGAGATTTCAACAGCTTCATGAACTTGCTGAGAAATATGCCTTCCTTACCCCATTGAATCTTTTGGATGATAAATATGAGTGTCAAATAGATCACGATCACGACGACATTGATAAAGAGGAGTTCCTCGTTGAGAGAAAAAGACTTCAGCATTTTGTTGCTGTTGCTGCTATAACTATTAAAGACAGAATACAGACGTGGAAAGAAGGCCCCCTTGAACTTTTGCAGTTTATTCAAAAGTATAACCTTGGGAACTCGGTTCCAAATATAGTAATAATGCTGAGGATTTTCCTCACAATTGCTGTTAGTGTTGCTGCTTGTGAGAGGAGTTTTTCGAAATTAAAACTGATCAAGAGTTACTTAAGATCTACTATGAGCACCTTGCGGTTGAGAAATCTTGCCATACTGTCTATAGAGCGACAATTGACAGATTAAAAAGTTTTTGACAATGTCATTGAAGAATTTGCCAACAAAAAAAACAAGAAAAGTTACTTTGTAGAAAGTTGTAGTTTTCATTTCAGAAATAAAGAGGTCCTAATTTTTTACACTTTTTTTACTTTTTCCCTATCCTATATGTCGTTTTTGCTTTTTGTTTAACTGTTACTTATAAAGTTTAAGTATGTTTGGGGTGTATTTAAAGCATACTATATTTGAGTATGTGAAAGTACAGTAATATTATAATGGTACACAAACTATTTAATATAT